CCATGTGCCATTATGGATTTCTTCTTTCCTTCCTTTTAAACAGGAGGGAAGGGAGAAGGAATACAGAGACGCCTCTGTTACCTTCACAGATAAAATGCTGCCAGTACTAACCATCTAACTAAGACTAAAAAGGCAGTCAGTAACAGAATGGTCCGATACTGTGGGGGAGCTCTAATAGCTCTTATAGTTAGATCAATCCGTTTCTCAACAGAGCCTTGACAAGTTTCTGATTTAATGGGATAAGCCTGTTTCCAGCTGTTAATGTTAAGTCTAAAAGATTTTAAGGTTTGACAAGAAAAAACAGCCTGAATTGCCATTGCCAGAACTTTCTTCATGATTATGGTAAAAGCAGGCCATTTTCTTCCCTACAGAAATGGTCACCTTTTCAATCATTTTTAGTTCTTTCCTTGATTTGTTCAAGAAGGCAAAACCAAAGATAGCAGAGTTACCAGAGGTTGTTCATGGAGGCAAGAGTAACTGAATTGAAACTGCTGAGTGTGAATGAATGCACCAGCAGTCAAGCTTAATGTTATACTAGATTACTTCTTGCTAATCTGTTTTTATGATGAGTGTGTCTTAGATGTACAGATATGAATGTGTGATAATTATGTGCAGCTAAAAAGCAGATGTTCTACCAATTTAATGGAACTTCATTGCATACAAACAGGGAAGAGAAGCAGTACTGAAAAATCATGGTACCAACATGAAAGCTGTGAAAGCAGAAGAGACTACTGTTTGATAAGGAATTTAAAATATTTCTTTGACAAACAAAGCCACTGCAGTATTGTTGCCTGAGGATTATATTTATATTTATCTGAGATGAGTTGTAAAACCCTCACTCAGTTTGGCTTGAGAAGGAATTGAGCCATGCTATTTTTTCACAAATATAATCATTTAGCTATTTTTAGTTTAAAGTAGAGTGGTGTCAAGACTTATATATGCTGATTGGTGAGAACTGCATAGTGGTGTTTCACAGGATGATGATTGCCTGGTGAATAGTGTGTTCCAGCTGCAGCACTGCCTGCCTGCTGACATATCCCTTATTAGGAAAGAAGTGTGATAAATAATTCTTACGCCTATGTGACTTCAGCCAATGATTTTTGTACACTGCAGGAATATGTAGCTTTTCTAAATGACCCCTTATTCTGTGGCTGTGTGAGCCTGGGTATAATCATCAAAATCAAACTGCATATAAATGCATTTTTAATACAGTTTTAAATACGAGTTCATATATTCAGGTGATTCACTATCTTCCTTATGCAAATTTTTATTAAGAATAATAGGCGTTAAATATTTACATGAATATATTTGTTGTGACTAATTTCAAAAAAATAAAAATATGTATAAAATTAAAAGTCTTTATATAAATAAAAATTAATGACAAAAAATCTTCCATTTTGAAATTTGGTTGATAATGTCAAGATTTTGCTTTGTGTGAAACTGATCACTGAAAGGAAATCTTAATTTCCTTTTCTTTAATTCTGAGCTTTCAGGTTTCCTAGCTTTTCACGGTAAAGTGTTTTCCTGTTAGATTTCAGAAGTCTCAAATATAGAGTGAATGGATACTTTAGGAAAACTGCAGTTGAATACCGGAATGTGTTACATCCAAGCTGTCTTTCACAGTCCAGCTGGAATGAGGAGATGTTTATAGTGGCTTATGATGACAGACAGAGAGTGAGACAGCTCTGCTCCAGTTCTGGTGTGGCTGGCTTTTCTTCTCTCTATAATGTCCACTGGAATCCAAAGGCTCTCCAGCTCAATAGTGAAATGAGGGATACAGTTGCAGGAATGGTTTTTATGAGGTCTTCTGGTGACTTCTGGTGCCACACATTAGAGCTGAGTTTATAGAGAAACATGATAAAGTTTAACGCTGTTTCCATTTTACTATTCCCTGCATAAATGGAGAAGTTGAGTCTGATGCTGGGATAACTTTGAAAGCAAGTCTAAGGGCAGTGGGTTGATTTCTTTCCCCTTTCTTAAAACAAAGCAATTAAAATTCCTGTAGTATTTATTTTTAGCCATTTCCCTGACTGTACAAGTAAGATTCTGCAGTACTGCTTTCTTAAGATACTGCTTTTCCTGCTTTGATACAGATGTAATATTTTTTTTTACCTGATTGTGGACACAGGGTAGCAGAAGACTGTCCTGGTTTTGCTGGCTCAGGATTGAGTCCCAGGTGAAAGTGACTTAGTAAAGTACTTGAAAATCAATGCTGACACAACTGTAATCTTACAAATATCCAAAGCGTGTAGACATCTACCAGAACTGCTAATTACAGGCATTCAAAAATCTTAAGTGAGGTTGCAAGAGAAATATGAGACAAGATTAAACCAGCTTCTTAAAAATGCGGCAAAGAAATGATAGTATTATCGTGAGTGTGATACCTTCTTATATTGCTGTAATTTTACTTACAGATTTTTAGCTTGAAAAGGCAGCCCTTCAGCTTTCCATGTACAGCTGCAAAAGAGAAAGTTTTTCTGTTGTTTTTTTTTTTTTTTAATATTAAATTAGGTAAATCAGGTAATTTGTATTGCTTTACTGTGCTTGAGCAGTTGCAGCAATAGGGAGGACATGAAATAGCCTTTGTTTCTTAGTCACATTGAATTCATTCATAAGTACTGGTGATGATTTTTATGTTAAGCATGCAGCATTTGATTGCTGAGCTATAGCCTTAAAATCATAACTAGGTAAAATACTCCAAGTAGGAAATTCAGGAGGCCTGAGGTAACAAGATGGAAACATTTAAACAGGTCCTTGAATTGTACTAACAAATATTAATGTAGATGGCTTTAATGAATAGTTCATCTAGGGAAACTTAATTGTCTCCATGTCTCCAATGAAACTTGAAAAACTTCTGGTGTGCTTTTTAATATTTATGTCACATTTTCTAAAGAATCTATGAGTAGGTTGGCTTGTATGTTTTCTGACGTGGGTAAAGGAGGATAAGCGCATAAAGGCTCCCTTTATCTGTTTCCCATTGTCATTCAAGGCTAAAGAAAGTAGTTTTGACATTCCTTATGGGTTATTTATTTCTGGAACTTAGTGAGTTGTCTTTGAATCTTCTGTTTTCAGACATATGAAGCGTGGAAATGATCAGGTTCAAAATCCAAAGACAGGCATTAAAGAAATGTATTATAAATATTTATGTGAACATTTATTTGTATTTACCTGATTTGCTAATCTTAGAAGGCCTTAATACCTTACTACCTTTACAAAATACTTAGTACCTTTAGTACCTTCGTGGCTTTAGTACCCTTCTGTGAAGTTTATCCAGACCCTATGGACCATATCTCTTACTTGATACTCTGTAGGGATTAGCATGATAGGTACACAGGTTTTGTTCTTGCCTCCTGCATGGGACAGTTGCATCCATATATTTCACAGCTGTTACTTGCTATGTTTGTTAAGTGGAGGCTAAAATCCATAACGTTTAGCGCAGTCCAGAAAAAAAACCCAATGTCAGATTGTGTTCTGCTATATGCACATATATCTATTTATCTCTGTGGTCATGAGTTAGTCTGCTGTTCTTTTTTTTAACTCTTTTTGCCATTGTGCTTATCATTTTTCATGTCCTTAGGACCTCCAAATGTGGGCTTTTACTACATTGTTCTAGGTTTTGTTCTAGGCAAAACACAAAAACTTGCATAAAGTATGTGAGAGACGCCCCTGACACCAGGAGAGAGGAAAATACAGACAAAGTGTGAAACAGACTTGATTGGAGTGATTGCTGTGGTCTCTGGCAGTCAAAGAGCTTTCATGTTGCTGTAATCATCAAGAGCATAGGTGGAACTTGGAAAATAGTGTTTTGCAGACATTTATGGTGAATATCTCACAAGTGTGAGAATAGGGAATTTCCTGAGTGCCTGTGGGCTTGCTCTGCATTCTCGGTCTGTCATGGAGATGAGGTCCGGAAAGGAAGGAAACAGAAGCAGTTATTTCAGTTGTGGGAAGCAGGTTGTTTACGGATTTGTGAACTAATTAAATAAGTGGCCCTCTGTGACCCCTTGTGAGACACGGATTTAGGGACTGACTAAAATAATACCCTTGGGGAATTTAACAGCGTTTAGTTAACCTGAGGCTTCACAGCAGCTACAGGAGTGATTGCAACCTTGAGTCTGCAGTGGCTGCTGCAGATAATCTCTATGGCAGAGCTGCTCTGTCCAGGGAGCAAAATTCCACCTACTTTAAGCTATTAAACATCTTTTTTTCCCACCACAGAGTGAGTGGTGACAACAGGTTTTAAAACCTAAAATGCATTTTCGCTTTCTATTAGGTATATACGTCATATGAAGACAACATTATTAATCTGAATTTGGAAGTTTTTGGAAGGGAAAAATTAACATATTCTACTATAATATTGAAACTAAGTCAACAAATAGCACATCATGAGATTTCATGTAATAGTTGACTTAACATTAAAGTGAGTTTTTGCTGTATTTAAGGTAAACATCTTTTGATGGTGAGAAATACAATGGCATACCTTTTTATTTAACTTGAACTTCTAGGAGAGGGAAGACCATAGGTTGTCTAAGTCATTTATGTGTTAGGTCAGGATTGGATTTCTGGTCATAGACTTATATTTAGGACAAGGAGATGAAGGTGTACTCTTCTGTCTAGTTGTGCACACAACCTTTTCTGATTCTCATATTTGCCTCAAACTGCAGCAACTATGGTAGACTGGTGTACTGCTACTGCAGAGTATTACCAGGACTTGTACCCCTGGTGAAGAGATTCTTTTGAAAACAAAATGATTTTTGCTACTTTACTATAATAACCAAGTACTGAATTATCAACCATTTCTAGTACTGGTGCTATTTTTATACCTTCTGATTCATTACTGTTGATGTAATTGTATTTGAGTTATATTTAATTCCTTACAGGTGCTTTTAAAATGAGATTGTATACAAAAATGGTTGTATGACCAGTTAATGCATTTTTTTCTGAGAGCACATAGTTTAACAAATGTTTTCATGATAAAGAAATTTTCTTCTTCTTTTCAGATACCATGACCAACAGGATGTTACTAGCAACTTCCTTGGAGCAATGTGGTTGATTTCTATAACTTTTCTATCCATTGGATATGGGGATATGGTACCAAATACATACTGTGGAAAAGGGGTCTGTTTACTTACTGGAATCATGGTGAGTGATTTTGTTAATTGGATATGAGATTACATTTGCTGTTAATTAATTTGAAATTAAGCCCAAAACTTTTGCTAGTCGTAAAGAAGTATTTATCTGCTGTCTTGTAGAGTGTATACTTAATCAGACCATTCCCATAGTCATTCATTCCTGGTAATGAAATGGACTTTTCTTCTTTAGGCAAAAATTTAGTAGCAGTGTAATGAAATACAGAGAAACAAATTGCACCCTGACGTAATTCATAGCTTCAGAAATCTCACTGAAGTCTTTCATTACATGTGAAGATATCATATCATCTTGATCATATTTAGGCATCTGTAATTGGACCAGTGCTAATAATGGATCTTCAGTTCTGACTTTTGTTTCTTAAAATTAATCACAAAGAAACATATTGGTGGCTAAACTCTTAAAAGGCTTTTGTTTGATCATAATTTTCTACTCTATTTCTTACAAGTCTAATAACATATTATTCATAGCAGTCCATTGCCTTAAGTGGAATTACGTTGTGCAATTTGCATAGTAAGAGCTTTTGCTACCCTTGGTACAATGCAGCAATTGTTAGGTCATGCATGCTCAATATATATTTATTAAGTGTATTTAACGTCTAGTTTTAATTTTTTGCACTGCACTATTTGGCCAAAGTTGGGCAGGGAGTAAGGCAATGTAATGCTGGGAAAATTTACGCATATCTGCAGTAAGTTAGATGTAAACAAGTTCTGGACTCTGCCTCTCTTATTTGTATCAACTTCTATGTAAATGTCCCTGTGAATGAGAAAGGCTGAATGATTGTCATATATGTACTGTATACAACAATACAATACATACTTGCTTCTGAATTTCTGCCATTGATTATAAGTAATGCAGTTCCAACATCTGTCTCTGTTAAAACAGCTATATTGGAATTACAGCTGAAAGCAAATGGTATCAAAGCATTGCCCCTTTTGAGCAGACAGGTTGATAGAATATTTATACTAAGTGTATATTTTATGTCCAGGGAGTATAAAAGGTTGAGGTTTTTTTTAATGTTTAAGGATTTTTTTAAAGTGCTTAAAAAAAATAATTCTAAAGAAACCTGATAGGTTTCAGTTTATTGACCTTTATTGATACAGATTGATAAAGACTTCCAGTATATTTTGCAAATGTGGGAAATGCATATCTCCTTAAATACAGGGTTTGCAGTGGAGTTGAAAGGTACAGGCTAAAAGCAGAGGAATGGCTCAGAGGGCTTTTTTAAAGGCTGTTGGCTGAGCTCAAATCTGCCATCTTCTGGGGTGTTTGCCTTTACTTTTTTCTGTGTTGGATAGTGATGCCAGAGAGAATGAAATGTAGTCAAAAAAATCACTAAGAAAAGGGATGGAGAAGCAGTGTTGTCACCTTGAAGTGCAGGGATTGCAGAATGAGAACAGAACCCTCATATAAAGCGACTTCCACTTCTGTGAAAAACTCATGTGGATTTATGCTTACCATTTTCATACATTGGCATCTCTTTTTTACAACTAGTAGCCTTGTAAAATATATGGATGACACCTTCATGTCTCTGATTGGGTTTTTTTTAATGGTTATAAGTTCTGCAGCTGCTCTGGAAGAACAAAGGCTCCAATCAGGATGTCATGATAATGAATTTGTGGTAAACATCTTCAGAGACAGAAAGCATTCTTAACAAAAAAACAAACCAAGTAGTTGCTGTGTTATGATAGGTAAAACAGTAGTGAAAGCCTCACCATTAATTGCATCAAAGTAATCTTTGAGAAAAAAAAAACATGGAGTAATGAGAAAAAGTCAGATGTTGGAATTAATCTGGGTTTTTTGGGGCTTGTGTTTTGTTTTGTTTCGTTTTTATAAAGGACCTGAGACTTACGAAGTGTGGCACAGTAAATATAATAATGAACTCTCTTCTAGCCTAAGCTGCAATACTGAAAAGCTTACAGGTCTTGAATATCATTCTTTAAAACCAGTTACTCTTCTGAAACTTGTACAGTAACTAATTAATGTTTGTTGTGGAAAATATAAAATCCTAAAAGAACAGACCGAGTGATTTTTATTTCAATGGGAGCAATTGATGATCTAATTAAAAGACACAGAAGGGTAATTGTTGAATGGATGTAGTAAAATAAAAGTGTATTATTTGATTTTAACAGGTAAAGTGTAATTCCCTATCATCTGAAGCAGCAAATGCATTGGATTAGTGTGATCAATGCCAAATGAGTGTTCACTTTTGGGTAGGGTCCATATTAAAAAGGATGGAAGGGGGAATAAATAGAAATACCTGTGAATACAAGAGTAGTTACATAGACCGCTGAAGAGTTAATATTGGCTTTGTGGAACTGGTGGCCCAAGGTAACCTCCTTTTGTGTCTTGATCCCTATGAAGGAAGAGCCCTGGTGCATGTCTATTCTCCCACTTCTGCCTCAGGAACTGCAGTGGAAATGGGAGTGCTCAGGCTGTACTCTGCCTTGTACTCCAGCCTGGGGAGTGGACATCCTGCAGTCTGGGGGTGGCACCGAGTTGTGTTGGTGATTGAAATTGTAACAAATGCTGCCTTGGTCACTGGTGTCAAGTGACATCTTTTAAACTCTACAGATGCGCACTGCTGGGAAATAGGAAAATCTTTACATGTGTTCAGGTTATAACAAAAGGAAAAATGCCTTGAGAATTGTTGGGAGTGAGATAGGAAAGACATTTGATTAATGTGTTAGAGAAATTGAGAAAAAGAAACTAAAAAAACCAAAAAAATTCCCCAAAAAAAACCTGAACAAAAAAGGCAAACAATGAAAAATTTGAACAATTTACATTTTGATCTTGTAATGCACTTAAACATATGAAACTTTCATAAAAATACAGCGTGCTAAAAGAGGGATCAGTGCAGAGATGTTTTAAAGTCAAGCAAGTGAAACTGAACTGGATGCTTCAACTCAATTACTGATCTGTAAGTCTCATTTTCCAATGAGACTTTACTAGGCAGCAGTAGTAGACTGTGGTCCAGGTGGACTATAAATCAATAGCAAACATATCCTGTGCCCCCTGTATACCTTAGGTAGGTCTGCAAGAGTGTGATGGATGGATACACATACAGCTGCCATTCTCAGAACAGGATGGAGAGGAAATAGGGAGACCTATGGCAGCTTCACCGTGCCATGCAGCTTGTTTGGTGTGCTGTATTTGCATGTGTTTTCTGCGTACTGAGGATGCCCACCCAAGCAGATCTCTCAGATGCTCATCAGCAAGGTGATCTCAGCTACAGGTGGAACTCTTTCCTTGTATGGTTTCTAAGCAGAACTGCTTGTGTAGGTGCTGCTTCCTCTTTCTTAATGACTTTTTGTAGCTAGGGCCTTGGAGTGGTTTGCAAAATTTTCTTTGCTTTGCGAGGAGAATAGTGTAGTTAGCAAAAATTTAAAGGTGAGTAGAAGTTGATGAGAAGTGTGAGAAGGTGGGGAAAGGTGCATAACTATGGACTGTTTTTGCAATGCTTTGAATGCTTTTGCAGTTACACAAGATAAAAAATAGCCACCAATTCTTCTGACTGCAAATTCAAGGACCTGTTACAAGTTTTAAGGACATTTTTCCTTTTAGATCCAGTATTATGTAGTGAGGTGGTGCATTTGTTGTATGATGCAAAGTTTATGATGCAGAATCTTCCTGCAAAGACACCCACCAACAATTAGAAGCAGACATGTTGGCCAAACCTACATTGCTACAAATAAAATGGATAAATTGCAATTGTCCTGTCACAGGATGCAGTTGGTTGGGTATAGCTTGATGAAGTTTGCTTTAAATGAAATAGATGTTATTTCAAAGTGTCTGCCTTGCTAATGTGGAAATTACATTATAATTGCTTCTCTTGTTGAAATGAACCTCAAAGAGATTGGTAGGCCTTTGAAAAAAACCAAATAAATATGGTAAGTTTCTTAACTGTATACAATAGCTGTGGACAAGATTAGAGTTCTTCCTTGCAAAAATTTTAAGTGGAATCTTTTAGGTACGGTATTTGAAGACTGCTCATGGAGGTGAAGTATTCTTATTAGAGTAGTTGCAGTGCAGTCATTGTATACAATCTGGCTTTAGGGACAATAGTTTTTATTAGTTCCAATGGTGAATCAAAAATTAATAAGATCTCCTTTTGAATCTTCTCATGCTGAAGGTTTTAATGTCCTTTGGATATCTACATTTTTTTTCTAAACAATCGCAGTTTCTTTCCTATGAATCACTAACAAAGTGATGAGGACGAGGTGTTTCTGTTGTAAGAACAAAGGACTCTTCATCTAAGGCTTAATTGTGATGTTTGTGGAAATGATAATTGTAGGCAGCCTGGTCTTAACCAACAAATACAGAGAACTAACTAAAAGAGGAACATGGCAGTTAGAGTGGCAGTTTCTAACTGTCTTATTTTTTGTTGGTAGCAAAATCCGAACTGTATTATTTTTGAAATGTAATAGTTGCTAGATTGTACGAAAAAGAGGTGAAGAACAAGTAAATTCTAACTGCATAATTAACATTGTCTGCATGTCTTCGGGGATGAATCCTGAAAAAGAGAAAAATAAGGTAAACATCATATTTGATCAAATATAGAAATTATTTTATAGAACTTTATGGATAATGTAGGAAAAGCTCATAAATTATTGTGCATAATAATGTCTAAAACATTGTGTGATTTTATAAAAACTTTTGTTTAATTGTGTAGTGTGTCGGAGAAACAACCGTTTATAAAATACAGAAATGTACTTTGAATTATACTCTAAAATCTGAAAAGGTACAATCAAGTCTAGTTAGAGCACTGTGGTCAATAGTTCTGTGGATAAGAGTATATTTCAAACATCTAGAACACTACTCAGGGAGTACAGAAAATATGAAAAGTTTTTCGTGTGAATTGATATAATCTCGTGTCCATGTCTCAGATATATGCTAGAATATCATTCAGTTGATTCTGATAATTCAGTAATAAACATAAGTGACGTCAGGATTTAGAAAAGAACATGTTTGTTCCTTCTAGCATAATACAACCT